CTGGGAGTCTGGGATTTGGCAGAGATTCTTGAAGTGCTTTATAAAGTACTTATAAACATGGGATTTATTAGTTACACTGCAGAAGTCAGCAGCTTAAAGCTCAAACCTATAGCATGGGCTATAAAGGAGAAGCACCTCATGGCATTTTGGGCTGATGTGGTTAACTGGATCAACAGGCCAGAATGAGAACACTTTCCTACAGCCACGCATCATGAACGCTCACATGCCAACACGTACATTCACAATTAGGTTGTAAGCGCTTTCGAACGGGATCCTCATTCTGCCCCATGTTACACAATACGTACGTGGCGCTCCTCAGTCCGTGTCACTGCAGTGCTATCACAACAAAAACGTCCCTAGCAAAGAGCGCACTACTTTTTCAGTTATCTCTGCATGTCCTTTTAGAGAATGTGTTCCTACCTACAAGAACAGGGCAGAAGGCGTTTACCTGAGGGAGTGCTGGAAGACGCAGATGGAAAATTGATTCCTGCTGAAGCTGATACTGAACTCCTGCCTTCTTCTGGAGAGCCCATCTGGTGGGCGAGGTGTAAGAGGCCCTGGGCTGCTACAAAGGTTGCTAACTACTTCTTTCTCCTTGTTGCTTGAGAGCATCATTGTGTGGACTGTTGGTGACTTCAAACACTGGACTATCCTATAATAAGAAACAGTCAGCAAGCGGCTGTTCTTAAGGATTTTTTCAGTTCTCTCTACGAGTAATGTTCCCAGATGATTAACAGTAGAAAGGCCTGGCTCTTTCCTCTCTTCAGATTGTAAGACACCAGAGCTGAGTTTGCAAAGAGTAATTTATATTCTATCTTATCTTAGGCTACAGCTGTAATAATCATAGTCTTAAACTGTTGTTAAATACAATTTAAAAAAACCCCAAAATAACAATACAACAGACTTATGCTGTGGCTTTTTTGTAGCTAAACACTGTTACCTATGTGACTTCCTTCTCGTTTCCCTGAACGAGCTGTTCTTTCCTTATGGATAAAAACTCACCTTTGTTTCACCATCTTTTTTCTGAGTGGAAGCTATCAATAGCAGAATGAGGATAAATTTGTAGCTGAATTCACTTCATTTCCTTCCAGCACTCAGACAGGACCGTAGGTTTGCTGTGGAGTTAGATGAGATACCAGCTTGAGTGTTAGTGCTGGCTTAAGCAGCTTGTGGACACAACTGCTTGTGGGGTTCAGCTGATAGCCAGATCCCTAAACAGATCTATGTTAAAAATAACCCTCATTTTGGAAAGAGGCCAAATGCAGAAGGCAGTACGTAAACCTGAGAAACAGCCCAGAGAGAGACTGGAAGCTACGGACAGAAGAGGGGAAGGTTTAGAAAGGTTTTTCATGATGGCTGGAAGGAAGGATTAGTTTAGGATTAGTTCTCCAAACCATGCTCAGAGAACCTAGCATGATTTCAAAATGTGACCTTCAGCAGAGAAATTTTGGAAAATTCTCAGTTAAGAGTGCTCTGGAGTGGTGTTGGAAGTGGGAATCTTTTTATTTGGACAATACCAGTAAATTCCATGCACTCTCTGATGGAGCGAGCTGCTAGCCAGGAGTCTCTTAATTGGAAACATTTTTACATTAGGTTCTTATGGACCAGCTGTTGTCTCATTCACAACAGCTATCTTGCATTGTTATTGTAAAAAACTGATACTGATCCTAAAGCATGTACTAGATAGAACTTGCTTTATCACTCAAGTCAGCTGTTCAAGGGAGGAGGGAGATGCAGTCATTTCATGTAACCTGTGTGACAAATTTGCTGGCATCAAGCAAAAAGCCCGTGGACAACATCCACATACGCACTTCCAGAAAGCAAATGATTTTTGGCTCAAGGCCAAATCAGTAGAAATGGCAACAAATAGGGGCACAGACATAAAATGCATAGGTTGGAGTATACGGTCCAAATACCACCTCATTACAGTTAGCACAGATTTCATTTCCTCAATTTCTAAAGGGTAATACGGAGGGAGTCCACTCAGAACAACACTACAGTATATTCAACTGCTTCTTTAGAAGACGGTAGACTCGTGTTGCTTTGATTTCTGTGCTGGAAGTGAGAATAAGACATTATGGAATTTGCTAGGTCTTCTGTTTCTTTAGAGCAGGGACATCAGAGGATCCTCTGAGGAAATGAATTTGCAGAAAACCACAGTTCTTCTAAGAACATATAAAGAAATCTTTGCTGCCCCAGTCTATTATTTATAGTAACTATAACCATCACATGCTCAACTTCTCTGCTGGGAAGTAAGAGGCTTCTGTGTCTTCTAAGTTGCAAAACCAAATGCCATTTACATCTGAAGAGTCTCAGTTCTTTTAAATCAGAATTGTTACCAAGCGCAAGGGTAACCGATGCTCTGAGAAGCTCAGGCAGAAACGCAAAACTGCCGGGAACGTTTGGGTTGAGACCGCTTGTTACAAGGTGTGAGCAGGGACACACACATCCCTCTCCGACCTCGCAAGCTGTTTTCTCCTATGTTGGTTTACCCCATGTTACGCTAAAGACTTGTCACAGTTATAAATACGTGACTGAAAGCTACCGTTAACCATGCTGGAAGAACACTACTAAACACTTCTCCTGAGCTCCCCCAGTCCTGACACAATTAGGTCAGTGGCAAAGATTCATGCAGGACTTGTGGAAGCAATCTGTGCATGGCAACTTGCAATATATTTGCATGAATTTGCCAGTGGCTATGGCAATGTTGCCACAGAGCAGACATAAGTGCTTTTGTTTTACAGCATATTACTTAAGGTCCTGTTTGGGCTTGTTAGGGACAAGTGTAGAGAGAGTCTACGGAGAAAAAAGTGGCAACCACGGGTGATCATCTCACAGGGTCGACCCCAATTGGATAGAAGCTACCCAGCTGAAAAATCATTACTTAAGTACAAGCTCATTACAATGTTCTGCACAGAAATATCTGCTGAAAATAGTAAGGCTGCAGCACAGCCGCAAACCGCAAGCTTTCATAGTGCCTATGAGCTTATACTCTCATTTCTACTCCTTGGCTATGAGATAACAGTATAGAAAAACATTGCTTTGTCAGCCGCTCTACAAAATACCAGCCGAGTCCCAGATACATACATGAGACATTAAACAGAGGCGTCACAGGCTACCTTCTAGATTTAATTACTGTTTAATTAGTACATTTAGGGCTCCTCTATGGGTAACTACCCTTTAACGGATCTTTTCCTCAGGGGGTATTAGTGGCCAAGGAGAGGTTGCTATTCATATAAGTAGGCTGAACCTTTATTACTGCCTTTATTTTCCCCATGCAGTAGAGATACCCAGGCGAACTAGCCGTGCGCATATGTTAAACTTTCCTATTTTGTGTTCAGTAAACTACCGGGATCCCAAACTGCTTTAGTGGTTCTTCCATGTCGTCTTCTGTGTCAAGGGCAAGGGGTACAGAGCTAGCGTACTCAAATTTCCCCCTGCCTGGAGGTATCAGTCAGACTGTGTCAGCTTCTGTCGGAACTGCCCCTGCCCCAGCCCCCTAACTGTTTATGGTATGGATGCATATATAGCTATGTACAGAACACATGTCTTCATGCCTGCCTTGCTGTCTCCCCCAACTGTTGACACGTCCTCTCAATGCAGACATGAAAAACAAAAGAGCAATGGAAAACAACCTCTTGGGGAAAACACTGAGGATTGTTTTCCAACCTCAGGCTACTCCACCAGGAACAGTCAGCTCTTTGTTGGGGACAGAAACATCAGCTGCACACATACATACTGCCTGGAGATTGTTCTGGGTCTCTGCTTCAGAAACAAAACACGCAATTCACACAAGCCCACACAACAGTGGGCTTGTGTTTATCTACACATTAATCACTCCCCTTTCAAGGCAATACTTCTCTGTGCGTGTGATCAAGATAACTGTTGAGATGGCCCAAAGCGTGGTGGTTGGGTGTAGGCGGCCCTCCCTATTCTGAGAAAATAATTACTAGCGTGCACTTGACGTACAGAGGACTGACTTCACACAAACACATACAAAGCCTTGGCATGCCTTTAGCCCCTAAGCAAAGACCATGAAGTAACAGCTTCTGCTTCTCCAAAATGCCTTGCTGATTTTCTCCTGTTTGACTTAGGCAGAACACAGGTAAAGCTCAGAGAAAGTTCGCTCCATAAAATAACAGTACTGAACGTTCCCACAGGGAACCGGCTCTGCACTTCAGGCCTCAGCATGTTCTGATAGACTTGATTGATAAACCCCCTCTGATAGGAGGTATGCATCACCCCACTTTTGTGACATTAGAGAGGAGTTTGCAATTACAATTCGGCAACTTTTTCCCCTGCCCCTTCCAGAACACAGCATACTGAGGGAGTTTTCTGCCAGCAAAGTACGGCTTCTGCTAAAAGTCATTCCCAGCTATCGATTTCGAATGCCCCAGTGAGCTTAGGTGAATTTGGCTGCAGGAGATTTGCACGACCCATGCCAAACATAGGAGGTGTCCTCAGGACTCAAACGATGTTTAATCTGCCCTACTGTGCCGGCACCTGAATACATCTGGAGCTGAAGCTGGTTACATGAAGAGTCCAGCTCTGCTTTTTCTATTACAAAACACAACAGGATTTCACAATAGCTTTGTATAACCCCTTTGTGCAGACACCCAAGGGCTAAGGGGGCCGATTACTCTCAAATACCATTCAAAACAGACAGCCCTTTATAGGAGAACACTCTCTTTCCTAACACGTCAGCAAAAATTTCGTGAAGATGGCGTTAGCTGTTTGCAGCCAGATTTGTACCCATCATTTTGCCCTGAGGCAAAAAGGGAAATCTATTGCTCCGTACCACCACTCACGTAGCTGGGGACAGGGGTGGAGGGAATGGATGGATGGACGGACAGAGGGACGTTACTTATGTGCAATTCTTTGTCCTGGAGAGCAGAGCAGCAAGTGCCGACTCCGACATAAGCAGGCACGGTGCCATGGGAGGCAGTGGAAGTTACACAAGGATGCAAAACCGCGTACGCAGGCAGATCACATACTAGAGCCAGGGCTGCCTCGTGGGCAGCGGGTGGGGCTTTCAGCGCTCCTGCGGGAGATCTCCCATGAGACCGGGAGGAGGAGAAGGCTACGAGGTCCTGGTTTTCGTAACGGCATCGCCCACCAGTAGGGATGCGGCATGGGTGGAGTTCGATGAAACTAAAATAAACGCTGCGTGTGGTGAATGTGAGCAGCCTCAGAAGAGCAGACCGCGATAGCTAGGACGAGGAGAGCTTTTTCTCCAAAATGTAAGTATGTCTACTTTCTCCACTTTCTTTATATAACTAGTGATTTGTGGAACAGCATGTTTTGGCTCCGCTTCTCACTGCTGTCAGTGTGAGAAACCTGTGAAGATGCCTGGTGCGTTTTCTGTTCCTTCCGCCCATGTGTTAGCAGCAGCAGGAAAAGCCCAGATTACAGTCATATAAATATGAACAGATGCAAATCCCAAAGTTAAGCCTTACTATAGATCTAAGCATGACTTTAACTGTGAATGCCTGGAGGATCATTTTAAGTTTGTTTGTCTTTACCTTTGTTTTTGTTCCAAAAGTATTGTTTTACGTAATTCAAAAATGTTCTGTTAGTGCAGTCACAAACAACTGCGGCCACAAAGCTGCAGTAGGCCGAGCCCTATGATGAATCTAATCAGCAGTAAAAACAAGGTGAGTCAAGGAGGGGTTGGGATTGGGAAATACAGAAACAAGTCTGCAGCTAACACATCAGCATGTGTTGCAATGAAGGAACGTTTACTTCTCTAAGATGAAGGCAGTTCTTTACATGTAAAAACAGGAGAAACGTATTTTCTGTCAAGGTGTAGCGAGGAGAAGCAGAAAGAGGGAAATGACAGCAAAGAAATCTCATCTTTGACTTTGAATTGACAACAGATAAGATACATTTACCATAGGAAGCTTCAGTATAGACTACTCACATTTGCTTCTAATCAAACTACTAGGTTCCTGCTTTCTTGTTCTGTCTCAGTGATTTATCAAAATCTTGAAAGTACTATTGACAAAAAGCACGTTAGAATAAAATAGTAAAGCTCAGTGCCATGTAGCAGTTCCTGGTGACAAGCTCTTCTGGTAAACACACTGCTGAACTTGAGCAATTATGCTACAACTTCAAGTTGGAGCTGGGAGGGAGGAGGAGAGCGCCTGCTTTCAACTGCTGGCATCAGTATCCTGCTGCGTGGTTCTCTGATGTTCCCTTACTCTATGGTGACAACTGGAGGAGCTGCTGGAAAAACCTTTTCAACATATGAGTGCTCTGTGCACTGCATATTTTAATGATTATAAGTGAAACCAGTTCCAGCCATTTTCCTTTTTTGGTAAAAAGCTTTTCCCTCTGACAGATTCCAAAGTGAAAAGTGTTGGCCATATCTAAAGCAGGGTACCACAGGGGATTAACAGTGTGCAGCAACAGTCTACAATACAGTAGGTCTGCACACGTTAATAAACACTATCTTCACGTGAAGCTATCGGAGGGCCCGAAGAAAGGGGAAATAGACAAGACTAGCACCAGGCAGTTCTTGCTTTTTACAAAAAAAGAGCCATGTTCTTATATCCACAAACTGCCATGTTAAAGATGGGGGCAGAGGAACGAAAAATAACCTCAGAACTCGTTTTGCCACCCAAGAAACATGCAATTAAATCATACTCCAGAAAGACAACGTACTATCAAACCCTGACCTAAGAATCAAAGGTAACTGCCAAATCAACAACATGCTGTCTTTGCTATATGAAGTACGTGCTAAGGACACTGCTTTGTAACAGGAAGCAGAAACCTTTTCAGGATGCAATATAGTCTGCTTGGTGTTGACAAACACCAAAAACTAACCCTTCTAAAATCTCAAGATTTAACCAGATATGACGATTTAAGTATTGATTTTGATTTTTTTTTTTTTTGCTTAGTTTTGGGGCAGGGACGGGGAGTTGAGTGTTTTCATGTTTTCAGTCTTTTCCTTTCCAGAATGGAGGCTAGGAAAGTAGGTATGCACTCATAAACGTACAAAATCTTGTCTAGTCTCAGGAGCCCAGGGGCTGAGGCTTTAAGAAAGGCATCGGCTATTATCAGATGCCCCAGTAAAATTATGGGCACCATCAATACTAGAATAAACATCAATACCAGTACCTTTTCATCCAAGAACAAAGCGCTTGAACATCTCAAGTCCGTTTTACTTACAGAGTCGCACAAAACTGCCACTTGCAGAATCTCAACACTTGTTTTGCAGCCAGGAAATGCCCTCACTTCACAGAGCAGTGGAGGCAGCATATCCTGACAGACGAACGCTCCCACATCAGCCTTCTGATGGTTTCATTGTCTTGGCTGCTGGTTCCTTCAGGGCTAACAGGATTTCAGCTCTTTTTGTTGTTGTTAAATCATTAGGAACAAGCAGTAGAAGTCATGCCTTTCACAATTTCAGAGACAACCGCCTTTCGGAAAGCTCCTGTCTCTTGCCTGAATTCTTCCAGTCACTTCTCATTGCAGCAGGTATTACTGAAAGGTTGGAGACTATAGACTGAGGAAAACGCTTCCATGAGATCAGGCAGAAAAGCCCCACTGCTTTGTTCTGCCCCATTTATAACATCTTGGTCAGAGAGGCTAACGAACTGTCTGCATTTCAGCTGACAAGATGATCAAATCCTTCAAGCAAATATTCCTGTCCCTGGATCTGCAGTCCCCTCGGTGGAGCTCAGCAGAGACTGTGGTAATGGCTAAGGGCTAGGGGTGCAAACAAAGCTCTCTGCAGTCAGCGTGCTGCAGAGCTCAGGGGGATTTGGGGTTCTCCATCTGAGCGTGGAGAAGTTGGGAAGCGCTACTACAAAAGCTGGTCATTCCTAATTGGAAGGGGAGAGGGACACCAGGGTAGGGTAGGGAGGAATGAGCTGGGACAAATGCGACAGAGGTACCGTGTAAGGGGCTAATTTGGACACAGTACTTGCTGCAAAAAGGACATGACGTACTTAAAAGCTCTGAGGAGCTCAGGCAGCACTGCATGGTTTTCCAACGAACGCATCTGTTTGATGTTGGAGGTACGCCTGGAGTCTGCTGCTACCTGGCAGCCTGAGGTTACCTGACCACAACACTACTTTCACGCTGGTTTGGGAGTAACAGCTGTTCGTTTGTCATCTTCTGTATTCACCCTCACGGTTATTGAGATTTCTACTACCTTTCAGGCAAAGGATTACGAACTGCGCCAGTACGAGACAGCCAAGTGGGTTAGCACTGTCATCAGGGGAGAGACCCAGAAGGAGGCGATGCGCCAGGGCTTCTGGAAACTCTTCCACTATATCCAAGGGAAGAACGAGAAAGGTACGATGTCGTGCCGGTTTGGAACTGCAAGAGGTATACATAGGGGACGAAGCTGAGTAGTATAAGGCATTAGAGGAGCTAGGCCACAAAACGAGTTCCCTTTCCTGGTCTAACACCCATTTGCTTCCTTTAGGCCATTATGCCTTCTCTCTACAGTCTCTCAGGACCATGCTACCTGGCATAAATAGGAGGAACAAAGTGGGAAGCTCAAGTCTTAGCACCACATAGGAAGAAAGGAGCTGCAGCCTGGACAGGGGCACAGTCAGTATGGAAAGGACTAGAGAGCTTTGGAGAGGAATATAGAAGGGTGGACCAGCAGTGTCTTCCCTTGCATAAACTCGTAGAAAGACCTGTTCAGCAGCAGCACCATGAGGCTGCTTTGGCATCTGCCTTCACAGCAGCATTTAGCCACTGTCTCTTCTTGCACCTTAAGAGAGTCTTTATTTTCTTCTAGAAATGAAGATTGATATGACTGTCCCAGTGACATGTCTGATAAAGTCTGGCTGTGCAGACTTCAAGATCTCTTTCTTTTTGCCATTTGAACATCAGGACTCCCCACCACAGCCCACTGATTCAGAGGTGTTCGTTGAAGAACGAAAGGGAGCAAGCATCTTTGTCAGGTGAGCAGCAGCGTGCCTCGTACATGAGGGTAGCTACTGAAAGGGGTCCATCTACAAAGACAGTGGGATGTTCTTATTTGCAGCCGATTTCTAACTCTGAGTAACAGATACGTCCTGCTGGTTAGAGCCTGAAGTTTTATTTGGTAAAGCTTGGTGTATCCGGATATTGTTCTCTTCTGCTTTTAGCAGGCACAAAGTTTCCTTGGGTGTCCTGCTGAGAGCACAGAACTGGCTGTAAGCTTTAAGACACTCATTTTTCAGCAGACCCTCAAATTTTGCATTGAGTGGATTTTGTACAAGCGTAGCCCACAGAATCCTCTCTTTGGCCACATTCCCTGTGCTGCAAGAGTCAAATCCCTTTCCAGCCAACACTTACTTGTAGTCCCAATCCCACGAAAACCACAGGGCAGGTGTTTCTGTAGAAAACTACTTCAGAAGTCACACCTGCCCTCTCCCAATGCATTAAAGCCAAAGCCAGTCTGTGTCAGCTCATGCTCTTGGAACTGCCAGCAACCTAGACACTGTTTTTGATAACCTAGCCTTTAAAGTTAGCATAGATAGCCATGCACTGCCTGACTGCTAGCTGTGCATAGCTTACTACAGATTGCACAGGAAGAGCTCAGACACTGCATGCTCTGGAAGCTTGATGTTTCTCTTCTGTGGAAAGAAAAGAGGGAACACATTTTGGACTCTAGCTCCAACTCCTACAGAGCTGGTAAAACCCCTCTCCTCTCACTTCTTCCAGGTCCTTTGGTGGTTTTGCCTCACCCGAGAAATACGCTGAGGAAGCTGAAGCATTGGCCAGAATCCTGAGAAACAGAGGCCAGCTATTCCATGAAGACTTCTTCTACACCGCAGGCTATGACAGTCCCTTCAAGCTCTTCAACAGGCACAACGAAGTGTGGTATTTTAAGAAGTAATATGGGGGAAAAAAATAGTAAGAACCTACTAATCAGTTCCGGATGAGAACAGGCCTCATTACTGGCTCTTGCTTTAGTGCAGAAGAGACTAAACTTGCACATGGACACAGAAGCATCTCTTAATGCTTTTTTATCTGGGATAGAAGAGTACTCTGGCTAAAAAGATCTCGGCTCTCTTTTTTACAAGATGAGGCTTAAATTCAGGTAGCTCATACCAGTTGGAGTTGGATGGAGATGACTCAGCTCCACTCCTTTTACTGCAAAATTCTGGGGAAACCCTGTGATCTGAAAACATTCCTATAGGACAATTTGGATCTCTAGTTTTACTTCTCATTAGAAGTGCTACACCTGTATTGTTCAAGCGTTACAGAGAGCAAGCTCCTCAGAGCTGACTTCTCCCATATCGATCTCACTCCTGAGACAGCACGGATGGGGGATTAAAGCACTCCTCAGAGAAGAAACCTAGCATTAATGAGTTTTAATGAAATGGCATTAACGAAAGCAGCAATGCCATAGCAGGCTCTATTGCCTCCTATACATTAGCACTATCTTTTTTAAATAGGGTTATCAAAATCCCCCATCTTTCTGCTCATTCTTTTCTTCCCAGCAGAGGCTGGATACAGTCCTATTCTCAACTAATGCCAGTGACCAGATGAGACTGAGAAGCCAGGGCAGAAAGGTTAACAGCATCCAAGCTGTATGCTTACTTCGTGTACATCTACTGTAGGTTCCTAACAGACTTCTTGCCTTTATGGTACTTTCATAGTTGCACGTTTCGAAATATACAAGTAGTACACTGTTTTAAACGTGAAAGAGCTAAACATTAAGTGCTACTTCAATTATTTAGCTTTGCCAAAATCTAAGTATGATTCAATTCAACTCTACTCTGCCTGAACACTAATGGTATGCCTGGCACCCCGCAAATTAGAAGACACTTGCAGAGCTACGTTTCCTTACACTAATTTACTCTGCCCTAAATCAAGCTTTTGAAGCTTTCATAAAATAGCCTGGAGCTTCAGCAGCAAGCTATTCAAGTCAGAAAGCAGTTCAACAACAACAGGCAGAGTTTACAGGATTTTATTGGTTCCAATCAATATCAGATATTACCACCGCAAAGCCTTGGCCTTTTTTTTTTTTTTTTTTAAAAACTGCTGTTCATGTAGTGTAACCCATTGTTCTGGGGTCTTCCACCTATTAAGACAGACACAGGAACTGTTATAGGGCACCAAAGTGACAAGAAGTTAGCTGGAAACAACTCAGACCTTAGATTTTCATCTCTGTTCAGAGAGAGAGTTCAAGCTAAGGTTGTAATCATCACTTGTTCCAGCAAAGAAGTTACTGTAGCCAGGTATACCCACCTTTTTCGTTCCTCATACAGTAGTTTTGAAGCTTCCTCTCCACCTAAAGGAAGAAAACAGGCTTAACATATGCAGTAGCGCAACTGCTAAAAGCTTCTTTCAGCAGCTGTGTAACCTCAGAAAGAATGGAACGGAAATGGGTAATATCACAGTAATTCATCTGGCAGAATCAAATTTCATCACCGGCTACAAATACTCCCCAAAGCTCTTTAATTTTCTGCTGTGTGATCTTACCTAATGAAGTTGCAGACAGAACAGTCCTTTCCTGAGGAAGAATGGAATTGTTTTAGAGCAGCAAACATCACTGTATGCAAGTTTAATTATACATCTATGAAATTCTATTTACCAAACTAATTACAGCTATAAGGAGGCTACATTTCAGGCGCCAGCTGACAGGAGCCTCAACTTTTAGCACATAAGTAGCAGTTATAAAGCTTACAAATCCTAGCTGAATTTGAAATATGGAATTACTAACAGAAGACTAACATTAGAAGAATCAGGAAAAAAAGTACGTAGCTACTACTTTGTGATATTGCCCCTCCCCAAAGTCATATTCAATTAGAATGAGTTTTGAGACCTAAAAATACAAGTTCCACAGAACTCTTATCTTGAAAACCTATCCTCAAAAGTAAAAGCCAGTCTACAGAAGAAAACAAGTTTTTACAGTAATCAGCTAGAACTTAATCCTAAATTTAAGTACAACATGACCAAGATCATCACTATTTAAGTAATAATTGTTGTCAGCTAGAAGATTCAGGGCTTTTTTTTTTTTTTTTTTTTGCAGAGTGCAGCAGTGTTGTACTGTCAGTCTATAGGATAGCCAGGTGCATCAGATGGGAGTGACATGTTTGTTACTGTGTATTCTGCTGAACTATGTTACCAATGTTGTATTGGCTGAAATAGTCTCATCACTGATTCAGTTTCTTTACTGCTTCCACTGTGTGAAGGTATCCAGCAATAAAAGCTTTTTAGTCACCAAGGCCACATCTTCTGTTCATACAAACAGAACTCTACATGAAGTTTACCAGTGCTTACAGCTCAGGGATTGGGAGGGTACCAAGTCTGCTCTGAAAGAACCCTTCCTAGTAAAGTCTAATTCAAGAACTACAAAAGTTAATCCTTGCTTCGCGGACATCAGGTTTATCCTGCCAGTAGGTGGAACGCGATGAAGACATACAAATCAGATCCATTACAGTGCCATCTTCAGGTACTACTAGCTAGGCATTTACCCTAAAGGCAGTATTTCACCAATTATCAAACCCTGTGATACGTAAATTGTGCTCTGCTCTTACCTCAGACAGAAGTTAGTCTTGCTTCACGCAAATTTCCCATGAGCGTCACCCTGTAACAAATGAATGTTTATTAACGCTCTCCTTGGCAACATTTCGGGAGTCAGTTTGAGTGAATGTACTGTTTCAGGGCAAGAGTCCTCCTCAGCCTCTTTCAGAGAGATTCCCATTGCTTAGAACTAATCATCATGAACAGTACATGCTTAGAGAAGCTTCACATTTGGTCACTTTGGTTTCTCCTTACTGGAGGAGCTGACCTCAGCATTTCAGACCTTACCACTAACCACATCTCCACTCACATCACATAACAGCTCTAATCCAGTCATGCAAATAAACAATTTACCCAATTATTCCAACTATTTCAGGTCAATGCTACTCTTTACAAAGGCCCACTGTATAGTTTTGTGCTGTTTCTGGTCAGCAGCAGAGTCCTGATGCTATCTTTGCACAGTCAGATTATCACACACTATCTTTCTCACCTACTAGAAAAATCAAGCCATGCATAGCAGTTGCGTATCGCAGCTGGTCCACGCTATGTCTTTTCAATTATGGAAAGCAGTTGACATTAAGTATTAAAAAAGTGTGTGAAACAAGCAGCTTACCATGCACAAACATACTGTTATCAAGTGTCTGGCAGTTCTTCCATCATCAAATCTAAGATATACACATAAGAAAATAAAATTTCAGTACAACGCTAGTGTTACTTTAGAACCTCACCGTTAAGATTCTCAAACCCCTTCGTCCACCAGTGCTACAATCACCATCTCTCAGTCTTTGTTAGTTCTAAACACGCACTGAACTGGTGCTCCTGCTACAGATCAAATAACGTGTTTCAGGGTTTTATCATGAGCTTTCAGAAACCACTCTGTCAACTCCTTATATAGGCAACAAGTAAACTTGTTTATCACTGGAAAGCAAAGTCACTATATAAAAACTTAAATACTGCTTTAGACAGACCAACCTATGCATAGGTAATGTTTTAAATGGGTTTTCCAGTGTTTTATTACGCAGGTTCCTTCATGTAGGAGAACCTTGCAAAGAAATTCTCTTTGCTACAATTAAAACATGTGACTCATTCTCAGATGAGGAAAAAATCCCCAGTCTCCTTTAGCTGAAGGATTATTCCAGCAGCCTTGGCTTAAAGCTTCTGCTGTCTATGCTTCCTGCACGGCCTGACTTCATCATCGCTTGACACATTCAGTAAAGCCAAATGCCAAGCACTTTCAAAAGTTGGCTTGAAGGACAAAATATAGATCTTTCCGTAAGCAGCATACAAGCAGTTTTCCACGATTTTGATATGGCACATTTGATCTGTACTGCCAGACAACAGCTGCCAAGGGCTTATTCCTTATTGCAACATTAAAATATCCCTTGGCATACACTTCGAGATTTAGAACTCTTTCCACACCATACTGAAGCGTCTATTTACTATATTGCCACCACACTTATGGCTACTGCCAGTTACAGGGTCTTTCAGTAAGGACTAGTCCACATTACTGCTTTCAGGTCAGACATTTGACAACATCATTATAACCCTGTAAGACACCTGCCCATAGATAGAATTTCCATGTTCTTAACAAAGTACTCAAATCATTTGGGTCCCAAAAGAGGAGACTGAGCCCCCAGCACCTTCGGTAAGTGAACCTTGCAGGCTGCTGGTAGCCTCTATCTGGCAGTAAAGGTAAAAAGCAAGAAAATCCACTTCCTGCTAATCCTGTGGCTACAAAACAGGATTAGAATCACATATCAAGTAGTTATGACCAGTACGATCAGTTTGCTGGCAACTTACATTTGCTGGTAACACCAACTGCATGGCTTAACAGCTCCACAACATTAGCCCTGGAACAAAATGAAGCGTCAGGACAACGCACCCAAACAGCCACAGAAAAATGAAATCTAGTCAAATGCCTGAAGTCAGATAGAGCTAATTGCAGACCTCCATAATTGAAGTCAGTTTATTCACATCTCATCACACAGGCAGCTTACGTTCTCAGTCACTGGACATGACTATCTACTTTAAGCTGAAGTTGGTATGGAGAAGAGGGCAAATATTCAATTAGTACTATCACAGCTACTTAATGAGCTCACAGGCATATAAGTAAAGTAATAGCTTAGCACAAACTAGCCTGCCAAGGTAGGGCCTTATTCAGCAACTCTCCCCTGAAGCATCCTTCTATTTTTAACTGAGATGCAAGCAGCAGCCAACACCAGCCCCCCCCTCAGCTTACACATAGCTTAAGACTTCATTTCAAGGGCATATTCTAGGCATATTTGTACCCTCGTACTTGCAAAGTTAAAAGAAGTACTTACATCGTGACCAGAAACACTTTGAAAGCCTGCAAAGGAAGAGTTACTGTTAGACAGGCTCCAAGAGAAAGTTTTAGCATAAGAACACCACTTCTAGTGAAAGACTGTATCAGTGTTTAGTCAAGTTTTATCCTCATTGGGATCAGAGACCTGATTCAACATCATTTACAGCAGACTGCTACACTCCCCACCCCTGTCCACAAGCAAATCTCATAAGCTATCTCCACATATTCTCCAATATCTTTGAGAAGTTTTCTCAACTCCAGAGACTGCTAAAATTGCAGAAACGAGAGAACCTTTAAGTTGCAGAATTCAGTGACGTGAACTTGGTGCGAATATCCCATTTGGTTTACCTGGGGAAAGCATTTCAGATACTAGGTTCACAGTATTGTTGCATTCACGATTCAAGGCATTTAGTCTTGTCAAAAACATTCTAAAATTTTTCAGCACGCTGCAAAACAATTACTTGATGCTTTCACTGCTAAGCATAGAAGATCTGTGCTCAAAGGCACATTTAGACAGGGTACTGGTATTTCTGCTTTGGATTTTCCAGAACCACAATGCAGGCCCTCATATCTCCAAGTGCCAGCTCTCAAGCTCAAACGAACAGCAGCACTGCAGCCGACTTATTACACAAACACAGCGCAGTCAAACATAGTATCCATCCTAAAATATGTTTTACAACTACCTTCAATTAGAAAGGCCTCGTCTTCACCGACAACAGTTGAAATAGTTTCTTCTGCTGGACGCAGGCATCCTACGTCTTTCTGTCCAGAGCAACCTGCAAAGCAACAGTACTCATGGCACTATCTGATGAACCAAGATTTTAAGTTACCAGAACAGCTAGCAAACCGATTCCGCTGTTTGTGGTTAATTTCACAAGAACAAGGCACGCCTACCTTCTATTTATCAGTCTAATTTTTTCATGCTTAGCCCATTTCCTGATCTTCAGAGACAAATTTTGAAGAGACATTCATAGGCAAAGGAAAGTAGTATTTCATTCTCAGTTCCCTACCTTACCTCTGCCAAAATTAGCTTAAGATACAGGAGGCTGCATCAGATAGGAGCGAAAGACAACAGCACGATCATCACAGGTCATCTGTTGAACTATGTTGTCATCATATGCAGCCTTCACAGGACAGGGATACAATAATTTTTTAAAATATTTAGGCAATACGGTATTTACCTTGCACAGCTTAATGCTTCATCTTCCAGTGCCTGCAAGAAAAAAGGAAAATGAGACTTCCTTAGCCATCTTGGTATAAGGCAGGCCTCCTAGGAAGAGATCACAACAGCCAGATACATCAGATAGGAGCGAAAGACAAAACTCTATTCATCACAGGATATTCTGTTGAACTATGTTATCATCACTGTATCTGCCTTGGAATAGTCATTTTGAACCACCATCTTTTGTGATGGCTTTGAGCAAAAATGGAAGTCCTCTGAATAAACCATGTCAAGAAATATTCACAAGTCTTTTGAAGAATGGCAAATATCAGTTGTTTTCTGTGTATTAGTGGAATTAATCCCAAAGTGCTGCCCTCCCATGTTACACATCCAAACCCTTCCACTACATTTTTTCCAGTCGCTCCACAGAAAAAAATCCATGGATCTTATGAAGTTTCTTACCAGGTAAGATTTCTTTCATAAGTCTTCCAAGTGCATGATTCAAACCCTGGAGAAAAAAAAAACAGCTTGTGAAATCTATGTTCAGAAGTCAAACATCAAGGAGCACTCTCAGCTGCTGTGCCTCTCAGATGGAAGTGATGGTGGTAAAAGTTCTCATCATTCTCTTCATCAAGAGTAGCAAATAAATGTCATCATTGCGGCACAAGAACTCAGCTCAGGGGATAAAGTTTACCTACTGATGCTAGCAAAAAAATTAGAAATTTTATACAGATGAACCATAAGCCCTCCAAACCCATTTCACATTCAGTTTTCAAAAAACATTTTTACCTTGTGAAGTAGCAGCAAGTCTCCCTCTTTGGTGGCAGATCTGGAAGGGATACAAGCAGTTCAAACATTAGCAGAACTAAGCCAAGTATTTCCGGCAGTGACACTAACAACAGAAAGCCTCAGCACGGAGTTCTCAGAAATCGCTTCTGTCCACTACTCTTACAATAAAAACATCACAGGCTCTCCAACTTAGTGAGTTAACATCAATCTCTATAGCTGCAGGCACTTTTTGGGATAGGTATCCGACACTTTTCCAAACAAAAAGCTACCCATTGCTATGGATGGTGAAATAGCAGTAACGGAAAAAAGAACGAATATTTACTGTATTCTTGTAGTCTGGTTAGAGACTTTTCCTAGAGGAAGGACAAAGACTGCCTGAAAGGACATCACAAGCAGTTACTAAATTACCAATTTCCTGAACTACCGGAGTACTCCAGTCTAGCACGGTTATTTCACAATTTAAACCCCACATTTCAGAAGCAGTGCCTACCTGTTTTGAGCCATAGGAGAGGGAAGAGTTTACTTGAGGCATCTTATCTGCAAACAAAAGAGCATTTAGTTTTTCTTCCAAGACTGAAGACGCTATGATCAGAGGGAAATATTCACAACGCTAAACTAAAACGCATATTACGTTCTGAAAAACCACAAGTAAAACTCCAGCTTTTCTGAGACAAGGCTACAAAATCAACTGCTAGTCCATACTTTTAGCACCAAAATCTAGCCAACAGGAGCAGGACAGAACCAGTAAACTTCTGGATTTTCTACAGCTCCCGTTCTAGTAAGCGTCTAGTCAGTCCTGCAGCCATTAGCTTAGTGTGGCTGCTCAGAAGAGACCACGTGGTGTTTCAGCCATGCCAGATACGCCACTACACAGTATTCCATGTCCAGCTCAGATATGTTGGCGTTCATCAGCTTCTCAGATGTCCCTACCAACATAGTTTTCATCATGCGCAAGCATGGAAGGCAAGTCAGTGAACTATGACGCTACTTTATTAACATGGTTAGTTTGATGCCTGCAACACTTGAAAGCCTCTTATCCAGACCAAGTGACATTCGGAAAACAGTGACTCTGCAGTTACAAACGGACTGTTCCTGCAGCAGATTGCCTCTTCTTTTCCCATCAGGAAAGGGCTCTCCCCAACCTGGCATCAACTTCCAATTAATAGCTAATGGATGGCCAGGCAACCCTTAATCCCACCCTGAAACTGCTACTATACTTTGCACAGCATTTTCCACTTCCTAGTCAAAACTATCTCCCTAGAAGCCTCTTGCACAGCAAAAATAAGGCAAGCGTTTCCTATTTAATAAACATTGCTCCCAAATCAGACCCCACAACTGCACACACCGCTTCTGATCACAGAGCCCAAACTTCTATACTCACTGCTCTACCATGAGACCTGCAGAGGCCCCCACACCTTCCCTCACAATGGGGTGGAGCTTCATATTGCCCCCATCCCCTAGTAGTACCCTCACAGGGCACACCTCCCACAGACCCCAGGGGCCCCTGTTCCCCTACCCCAACACAGACCCAAAGCCCCCCTCGCAGGGCCCCTGCTCCCTTACCCCAACACAGACCCAAAACCCCCCCCCCAG